CGTAGCTATCCGGGAACGAAAGATATTCGGTGAAAATTTCTAGTCGCGAAGGCAACCGAGGGTAATATCGAATTAACGCGGCTTCCGTTAATAGACCAAGAATTAATCCAGTCTATTCGGAAACGAAAGATATCCAGTGGAGAAGGCAGCAGACGCCCGAATAATTGGAACTCGAAATTCAACCGACGATGGAGGAGATCAAGTTATAATATCGATTCGATTTCCCGCCTATACCCAATTATTTCCTACACCCTCGGCCGACCGTAATTTCCCGAAAGCGGCCGACAATCTGGGAACACGACCGCAGCAATGAGCCGTACAACGGGCGAAGAGTAAGTCGTCAGGTTGCGCGGCACGGCGTGACGTGTTTCAATCTAGGGACTTTCTACGCGAATGCTCGGCTGGCGCGAGCCCGCTCATGATTGACAGACTGGATTGGTGAAGTTGCCGCGCAAGATATTGCACGTGTTATCGCGAATGTTGCCGGCTGACAATAGATCAAAACCAAGTGCACGCGTGAGGGGCCGAGTACTTGCCGCGGCCCCAATATACGAGCCTGTCAAACTTTATGACGAGGGATTTCGATGCTTGATGAATGAACACGCCGTCCCTTTTCCGCCTCGCACCTCCAGGAGCTGTTCCGCGCCTCCGCCATTCAAGTTGCATCCCACGATACAGGGACATCCATTGTCGGGGAATTTGTCGAACAATCACGGCGTAAAGGGGCGACGATACATCTTCGACGTCCGGCAATGCCGGTGGGTGGACGTCGGCCACCGTGTTCCATGATTTCCAAAGTGTCAGGCGAACGGTCGCTCGTTTCCAGGCCACACTTTGGGGAAATAAAATTGATAGAGATTTCGTCCCATTCCGTCGTCCACTGCTCACACGCGTGGAGCACCGTTGTACCGACTAAAAAGATTCACCGCGACGAGGAATTTTCCACGAATTCTCCACGAACGCCTTGCGAACGCGTGCTCCGACTCGACTTTCGCCGGACACTGGAGTCCAGGCAAGGCTTCCGGCGAAAAGGTTCGTCGATGACGGTTCGTTGACAGGTCTAGAATGAAACTTGTTTTCTTTTCTTCATGTTCTCTATCACCCTCCCACGTTTCTGCCCTCTCTCTCTCGAGTGGATTACCGATTCCAGGGGGGTCGAAACGTTTCCGTGCCCGCGATCCAAGTTGCGCGCGGAGAAATTACGAAACACACTGGCAGAATTTGAAAGTCTCGTAAAAGATTTTACGAGAATTTGCGAAATTTTTTATCACTTTTCATCACTATACATCGCTGCGGGTATGGAAACTTAGAATCTCGTTATTTACGAGTTCGCCTAACCCTCTCTCGATACCCTTGTCTATTTCTTCTTTAATAAGAGCCGATTCCTCGCGAAAGCAAAAATGGATACGACGTCACGAGATGTCGATTCGAGCGTTAAGACGCACGCGATTTAACCGGCAAGGGATGCTCGCCGATTTTTCCACGCTATTCCACCCCTTAGACGCGTTTGCTCGCGACGTTTATGGAAGGGCGTGTGCACGACGGAGACCCGTAGGCGAGCGTTCGAGCGAGTATATCACGTTGACTCGCGCGTATATCACGCGAGGGGTGAAAAAGGGGAAAGGAAAAAAAAAAAAAAGAAAAGAAAAACGACGAAAATAGTAGAACGCGCCTAAAAACGGCCGCATATCGACGCCGCGTATTGAGAAAGCTGCTATATAGATTCAAAGTAGATAGCATCCGCTCGGGTATAAAAATAAATCGACGGGGATAAAATTTCTCTGGATCCGGATAAAACGCGAACCAATAAACGAACCGAGGGGGGTGAGTTTCGATTCTACGCTCAAGTTTCCTGGATGAAACGCGCCACGCTTTTATACGCGCGTATTTTTTTTACCATCCCCTAATCCATACCCCAAATGGTTCGCGTTTCATCGCCCTCCCCCTTCGCGATAATCGACAGGGCGGATAATTAATGGAAACAATACGAGGCAACCTGTAACAACCGACGGATTATTAACCGAATGGTCGACGAGTTATTAATAAAATCTGCCGCGATTCGTCGAAGTACCGATCGCGATGAATAATTGCCATCGCGGAAACATCGATACGAGTGCGGGTTTAAATTGCCGCGGATGCGGCGTTAACGAGGTAGGGGAAAAGGGGTGAAATTCACGGGTGAAAAATAATCGCGGCCAGGTTCCTTTCAGGCAGGATAAGCGGCGTTACAAGAAGAGTGCGGATCAATATTAAGAAAGTTGTGTGTCACGGCGCAGCTACGTCTAGGCGCAAGACTGATCGTCGCTCGAGTGCCGAAGAAATTAAGTTAAGCCATGACGGAGGGCGGCGGGACAGGAACGAGCGGTTGGGGGTCGAATGAGAGTTCGGGGAATAAAAAGGGCTCTTACCATTCAGCACGTGGACCATTACGCTGGCTGGATTCGCGTTGCTGGAAATGCAGGTGTAATTTCCGCTGTCGGTCAATCTGGCTTGTGTCACCAGAAGCTTGCTCGTCGTGCCGCTTTCCGTCTTCTCGGTCTCCAAGGAAATCCCGCCCCTGCGGTGAACGCTGAATTATCAAAGATACTTTGCTGCTATTCACCGCACACACGTTGCATCGCGTTTGTTAGGACGTTTCTAAGGGTGTGACGGCCGCGTCGCGCCAACTTGCTCCGAGTAACACGAGCGTCGAGATACACCGGGACGCGTTGTCGCGGTATCGCGTTTCATCCCTCCTGAAGGGAGAACGATCGCGCGGCTACCGGTGTTCCTTTCGATATTCCCTAAACTCGGGATCCGCGTACAAAGGACGATTTGCCAGGCCATCGGAGAGAAGCGGGAAAGTCGTCGGAAGAGAAGTTGCCGGGATTAATATATCCCTTCCGGCGAACGGAATCGCGGTACTAAGGGGAAACGACAACGCGAGAATCTGTTACGCGATTGGGGAAGTGACAGAAATTTTCACGACGCTGGAAACGGGGCGAAGGCTCGGCGCACGTTCGGTGCATCTTCTATGGGGTGTGCGGCAATAATCGTAACGCAGGCAATCGAACGGAAGCAAGTGGGTTCGCCCTGAAACGTTGGCGCGCGCGGAATAGAGGGAGCGAGAGGTGCACGAGGCGGAGCATTACGGAGAGAACTCGAGAACTTGATTCTCGTGGCTTGTACCTGGGACTGTCGAAATCCACCAGAGCTCCTCCGTGATGCCAGAAAACGATGCTGGGCGGTGTACTTGGCACATTAACGGTGCACGTGAGGCTTATCGTGCTACCCTTCTTCACGTAGACGTCTTCCGGACCGAGGATTTTCGCCTCAGCGGCTGCAACACACATCGGAAATCGGCCACTTAAACATTCCGTCCTCGGTCCCGCTTAAATTTCGTTTATTCGTTCTCTATTTACGGGGGAACGTGGTGTCTACTGTCTCGCGGATCTTGCGGATTCCTCTAAGCGTGTCCCGAAAGCGACGAGCGATTCGCGTGCAACGCGCGAGATACCATCTCGTCGGCGTGACGTGGGAATTAACGCGACCGGTAGCAACGGTGCGAGATTTAAAAACGTGCCCCGCGGTCGACGAGTAAATCACGCGTCCATTCGTGGAAACCTAAGGTTACTCGCTTGTTATTACATACGGAATTATTTCGAATCGCCCTATAAATTATACTTAATCAACGACCGATCGTAAGACCCTGTGTCAGCGAGTCGTGGCGAATTTACCTCGGCGTGCGTAATACCGTATGCAAATGCCCGCGGCGAGTATGTTCCCCGACTCGGTAGCCGCGGTGCTCGTGACTAACGTTCGAAGCGAGTATCGCGAAAGTTTTCACGGAACTTCGGGGTCGGCGAAAACGGAAAGGAGAGGCCAGAGCCGAAACTTGAATCGTTACCGCGAATATGTTAATCGTCGCGAGAAGTAGAACGGGCTAATCAAGCGTCGCGTGGGCACGTAAAAGCGTGGTTCGTCGGACAGAGACATCGTCGCGTACCACGTTATCGCCTCGCTGCCCGGCAGGGGCCCCGAGATCATGCCAAATGCCACGCGAAACACCATTCGTGCCATGATAAATGCATCGGAAACCTTTCCATTTTTATGCTTTTTGTCTCGATGCAATCGCATTCCTCGAAACGGGTCACGGTTTATCTCGAAACAAGAAATTTACTAGCTCGCCGATCGATAGAGTCCAAGTAAATCACTCATCTCCACGGCCCGTGGTCCACGTGGAAAGATGTAAAGGACCGATCCGGCCTCTCGTCCACCCCCACCCGACTCGCTAGAGAATATAAACGCGAATCTATGCCCGGTATGTCGGAACGCAAATGGCTGGAAATTATCGTACATCAAAGCAGAAGCATAACCGAGTGCGAGTTGGAATATCCAGCGCAAGGCAGGCCGAGCACGCGCGGGATTATCTCTTTCGCGTATCGCCACGTTGCATTAGAAAGTCCATCAGGCTCAATTATACCGCGGATCGTAGTTCAGGGGAAATGAGAAAACGCGTGTCGTCGCATACGTGGTCGCATTCCGGGTCACGGCGTGTGACGATCAGCGAAACGGAGCCCTTTAGCGCTAAAGTCAGCTCGACCGGCCCTCGTAAAACAAAACCATCCGACCACGGGGTGGGGGATTGAATTAATTAACGTTAAACTGGGAGGACGTGCATGCACTGATAGAGCACGAGCCGGCATACAGACATGCTGGCCACAGGCACAGAGAATAGATAGAGGCAGCCATCGCGATCTACAGACCGGTCGCAATAAAACGTCTATAGCAGCAAGTTCAACAGCTTGGAAAAGGAGTTCTGTTCTTGCGTGATTCTCTAACCTGAGTTGAACGTCCGGTGAATGGCGTTCGGTGTGGCGGTGGCGGGGACAGGGGCACTTTCTGGAATGGGAGGACAGAAAAGATATCGAGTTAATCGATTTCGTCGTGAGATCTACCGTTTCGTGGGTGGCCCGGGGATTGGACTGCCACCGAAAGCATCGTGATATAGGTTACGATCGCTGTTCCCTCGGATATACATGTACACACACATACGCACACACGTGTGCTATGCACCGTGCATCGTTGTTCATTCACGGCGTTCGCGGCCTCTTTTCTTTTCTCCAGTCAACGCTCGTCCTTTTCCTATATCGCGATACCAGCTTCGCGACTCTTTTCCAACGGCACACGCGCGTTTATCTTCGCGGGAAAAGAATCGCGGAATGATTTGAAAGAGAATCGCGTATTCGTTCGAGGAACATTAAGAAACCAACGTTCGAGGGAAACGAATTGAATTTCCTTGCGACGAATCGATAGTGCGATCGGCAAAAAATCGATCGCCGCCAACTGACGAGCAATTACTGTAACGCACGCGCGTATGCTGCCTCGTGATAAGGACAGGTACACGCAGAGGCTACGAACATAATTAATGAACATCGATGTTCGTGCACGCAGACCCTTCGAAATCGCGCGAATGCCGGAAACGGTTCACGCGACGATGCTCGAAGAAGCTGACGACTTCCTGTCAGAAATTTTCCATCCAGATTCATCGATAAATCGTTCCCGTAAACGAGAAAGAATAAGAAAATTTTCTATCATTCGATACCCGCCGATTTCTACCGATTTATCGTTAGGATAATCGGGCACCGTTATTAAATTATCGAAATATAGACTGTTGACATAACAACGTTATCCTACGCAACGATCATTTGCGAGCGAGTTACGTGAAAACGGTGTATACGTTGTTGTTTGTTACAATCCAGCGGTCGGTCGATTAATTGCGATAAAGCGCGATCATTAACTCCCCGCAAACGTTTAAAGTGCTGAATAATCGATGCCCGTTAACGCGTGACAGTAACTTTAACAGAAAAAGGAACCTCGCGAGCCGACAAAGTACCGTAATCACGAGGTGACGTAACGTCAATCGAAACACGATGAAACGATGAAATAAAAGCAACACGGGATTGAAAGTAGAGGACGACAAACGCGTCAACGATAAATCTCGCGACGCGAACGCGTTACCGTTCGTTACCGACCCATCGATCCTACCACGGTCACGGGATCTTGATCTCTGACTTGATCATGCTCGATACGCGAACAGGGGACGATGCTCGATAATTCACGAGGACTTTTAATTGACGTTGTAACGTCAACCACTGTTTGTAACCCGAAGTGTTGTCGCGGCAGCCCGGTGGCAACCTGCACCCGACGTTGACAGGACCATCAATTAGGCGAATTAATTGCGCAACGGAAGTACCAGGAGACGAAATCGACGGTTTGCAGGCACGTTCGTCGGAATGTTCGCGCGAAACCCGGACAATGGGGGGATGAAACGTGCGAGAAAAAGTGATTTGGGGGGCACCGACATCGTCGAAATGTCAACGTTTCACGGAAACAGGCATGCAAGCGGGAAGCTTCAGTCCTTTTTTCTCATGCTGGTGAGTAGTCAGGGTACCGGAAGTGTCTTTCCTGATCGATCAGGTGGTAGACACGTAAACAAGCGTCGAGAGATTGTCTCTGTCTTTTCTCTAGACTCGGTTACGCGGTATATTTACAGGGGCACAGTGTGATTTTTGTCAACGGGGCGATTAATCCTTTCCTGCCGCCGCGAGTATTTATCCTTACTACTTTCCCGGAACGATATTCCGGGAATAAATCCGTCGAATGAAAACCCATAATCCGTCTGGAACTTTCGAGCTGCTATTTTCTCGTAAAAATCCCTCGTACGATAACGTAAGAGGGAAAACACGAGCAGATGAGAAAACCGATAAAGCAACAGCTTTAATATCCAGCTGGGATTTCCTTCGACCGCCGACGGAACGTGTTAAACGCGAAAGGATTAATCGCGCTAGGATAATGGTAGCGCAAGTGCAGTTTTACCTTCGACTGTCAACACGAAGGCTAAATTCATTTTGGGCTCGGTGTTAACCTGGCATTCGTACACCCCGGCGTCGCGTTGTTGAACGTAATTGATCAGCAACGACCATTCGTCGGATGCCTCGGGGTGCTTCACCGAGAATCTTCCGTCCCCCGTGTACGCGAAGATGGACGACGTGAGTATGTGTAAATCCCTTTTACGTATCCAGGATATCTGAAACCAAAATGGCGCCTGCTGAGCATCGTTGGAATTTCGAGGAAAATTCTGGGACCGTCGACTTTGCCCGACATCGCTCTCACCCCGGACAGTTTCCAAGGGATTCTCTCGGCTCGGAGGAAGCTTCTTTCCTGTTGAACGAAAAGATTTGTTGCACGCTTCATCCGATTCGATCGACCTCGTTCCGGCGAATCACGGTAATTTGTCTGCAGCCGGATTAATGGACTCGGCTGGCATTCCTTTAATTGGCTGATTTGACGGTTAACCATTGATTCCATTGTACGGGAAAGACGGTCAATGTAAATTCCTCGCAAAATCGGCAATTGCCGGGGATCGATCGATGGCCTGTGTTCCCGATCACGGGGCCAAGAATATCGATAAAATCGGCGATACGAATGCATCGTGCGTTGGCTGAATTTGTCAACGGCCGAATAATAACGCTGCCAATGATCTTTCGTGCCAGCAGCCTCGGTCTAATAATCGGATCGAATCGAACGCGTGACGTATCGAATTTTCGATGAGCTCCGGCATTGGTAGCGTTACCAACCGACACATCGCCACGCGTTAAACCATAGACGGAAT